TGTGACCTGGGCAAAGTGCTTTACCTCTCTGGGCCTTAATTCCCTCATCTGCAAAGTGGGGCTATTTACAGCACTTATCTCTCAGAGAAAAGTGAAGCAGGTAACAAGTACTGAAAACACAGTAACTCACAAAGTCATTCTAGAATACCTCTCCCAACGTTTTCCCTCTCTTTCCCCCCTACCATTCTCCCCTTGATCTTCTTTGTTTTCCTGGCTAAACCCAAAAAGAGGGCATTTTAAAATTCCCTGTCTATAGTCATGTTTCATCCTTCTCTGTTTTGTCCTGAAGACAGAGAATAAGTTGGGAGATTACCCTCCCTTGACCACAGAGGAAATTAAGATATAAAGGAGCCAAAATCCTATTTTGGTGGCAGGACCATTTTTTAAAAATTATACCGTCAAACTGACTTCTGGGGGCAATGTACAGTTCTGCTCTTTTTTTTTTTTTCCTCACCCGAGGACATTTTTCCATCCTTTGTACAGACAGAGTGGGAGGGAGAGAGAGGGAAACATTGATGTGAAAGGGACACATCGAGTGGCTGCCACCCGCACGACCAACCAGGGCTGGGGACAAACTGCAACCAAGGTATACGCCCTTAGCGGGAACCGAACCCGGGTCTCTCCGGACCGCAGGTGGACGCTCTAACCGCTGAGCCAAACCGGCCAGGGCCAGTTCTTCTCATTTTAACACAGGTAGATGTAACCACTACCACAATAGGACACTGTTGGTTCTATCTATAGTTCCTTTTGATTGCTGAGTAGTAGTTCATGTTTGGGGCTCTTGAGGAGAATTCTCAAGCATCCTTGGTGTCATTTCTTTGTGAAGTTACCTTAGTGAAATTCAAAATGATTGGTTCAAAGTAACAAATGATGTATAGTCATCTCCCCTCATCTGTGGGGGATACGTTCCAAGACCCTCAGTGGATGCTGGAAACTGTAGCTAGTACAGAGTCCTACATATATTAGGGTTTTTCCTTTACATACATACCTGTGATAAAGTTTAATTTATAAACTGACACAGTAAGAGACTGACAATGATAATAATAAAGTAGAATGATTATAACAATATACTGTAATCAGAGTTACATGAATGTGTCTGGTCAATATGGCTTAGTGGTTGAGCATCGACCCATGCACCAAGAGGTTGCTGGTTCGATTCTCAGTCAGGACACGTGCCCAGGTTGTAGGCCTGATCCCCAGTGTGGGGCATGCAGGAGGCAGCCAATCGATGTTCTCTCTCATCCATGTTTCTATCCCTCTCTCCCTTTCCCTTCCTCTTTCTAACATTAATAAAGGGGAAAAAAGTTACATGAATGTGGTCTCTCTCTTCCAAAAGATCTTATTGAGCTGCACTCTCCTTCTTGTGATGATGTGAGACGATATAGCACCTACTCGTGACCTAGGTCTTTTTCTTGAACTACACCTCTCCCACTGTTAGCGAGGTTACTCCCTCACATAGAAATTGTCAGGTTTTTTCCCAGACGTTGAACAAAGGTTGTTGGTTTTGTTCACCCTGGATGCTCATGTTAATCCCCACCTCCTAGCAGAGCAAGAGGGACAGAGGGACAGAGGGACAGGTTCATTTCAGGATGCAGAACAGAGTCTGGGTTTCAGCTCTTGGTAACCTTGGCTTCCGGGGAGAATCCTGGAGGAAGTCTGTGGGAGGCACCTGAGCCGCTCATCACACAGTGACAGCAAGAGTTCTCACCTCCAAATCAGCCCGAGCCTCAGTGATGAGAAGAGGACCCCACACGTGACCAATACTGAGCCAAGAAAGAATCACCACCTCCCGGCCTCCCCGTTATTAGAAAGCAATAAAAACTCAACAAAAGAGAGACATCAGCTTGCCTGGTGTTATCATTCTTTCATTCAACAGGCTTGGAGCTCCCCTCCCGGGCAGCAGCACAGAGGATGCAGTGATTGGTCCCTACCCTCAAGCGGTGCAACTCTCTGGCAGGGGGGACAGTTACATAAAAAGATGATTCCGGAACTCTCTCTTTGGTCTATGGTATCTCAGCCACACTGAACAGCATGGGCGTTCCTGAGCAAATGGTGCTGCTTCGTAGTTTGGTTTAAACCGCCCTCTGCCTGGAATGCTCCTCCACTCCCATCCCCACCCCCAAGCCAGCAAACCCACCCACCTCTGCCCCCCTTCTCTGACGGTGGGTTTCCTATCTGTAGCAGATTCCACTAGAAGACAGGAAAAGCCTCGACCTTAATTCAGGTCCTGAAATTTTATTTTTATCTGGGACTAGACATTTCAATTAATGAATTGAGACTGTTTAATGACTTTTTAAATTTCTTTTCTTTATTGAGAGGAAGAGAGAGGGAGAGAGATAGAAACATCGATGAGAGAGAACATCGATTGGCCGCCTCCTGCATGCCCCCACTGGGGATCGGGCCCACAACCTGGGCATGTGCCCTGACCAGGAATTGAACTGGCAGCCTCTTGGTGCGTGGGTCCACGCTCAACCACTGAGCCACACCGGCCAGGCTGTTTAATGACTTTTTAAAAAGCAACCATAGCTTTGGGCTTTACATTTTTGAGGCCTAAGACAGTTTTCATCCAGGGACAGGAGAAGAATGAAAACCTCCAGAAAAAAAAACACAAAGAAATAATGGGAGGAAAAAGTCTGCATTATAACATTCTGTAAGCCACGTTTGCTTAACCTTCCAGCTACCCACATCTGTCTGTCCCTTAGACAGAGTTCCTGCCGAGCACAGGGCTATGCAGAGACTAACTGCTCAATGAAGATGGGGGTGGGCACAGGGGAGGGAAAGGAACCCACGCAAGGCAGGGCGGGCTCAGTCCCAGGAGACTGGTGGTGGCGGGACTCAAGACGACAGTGCCCCAGGTGGCAGCCTCCAGACAGGCTCTCAAGATGGCCTGATGTCCTTTGATAGCAGCTGCCTTTCACTGCACAACAGACCTAGAACTTTTATCGTGAAAATGCATGTAAGGCGGTGAGAATGCAAATAAGCATCAGCCAAGGTATCAACCGCAGTTACCAGACTTCCCTGCCGGCACTGTGCTTGTCCAGTGGGCCCCGGGGGGAGACGCCCACCTGAAGAGGCTGCCCGTGAGCAGGCAAACCAAGACAGGGAGGTGTCAGTGCCTTAATCTCACCACTCCATGGCCTGTGCCAGCTGCAGGTGCGGAAAGTGAGGGTGACAGGTTAAGGAACTTGCCCCAAGTCACATCACTACTAAGTGACAGGGCAGGGATCTAAACTCTTCTCCTTCTTCAGTTTGCTTGGCGGCAACTCTAAACTTTCAATTGTTTGCATTTACAAGTCACAGACTTTGGGTGATTTAAGGCCTCCCCACCCACACAAACAGATTCAGGGCTTGGAGGGTGAAGTCTGAGAACAGAGCACAGGAAAGCTGTTGAGCCTGGGAGAGGCACCCCCATGCTTCACACAGTGCCCCCCCCCCGACTCCGACCACCTCTCTGCCCTGTCATGTTTTCCTGCCTCCCTCTACCTTGTTTCCTCCATCTGCACTTCTGGGGTGCATGCCCTCTGGGGTGCATGCCCTCAATGGCCATGCTCACTGTCCCCTCTGGCATCACTAGGGCTGGTGGGGAGCTGCTAACGCATTGTTAACCAACCCACCCCTCTTGCCTGTGCCCTCATGGACCAGCCCCTTGCAGGAGCTGAGCACCCACTGTCTGCCCAACCGGGTCAGCACTGTCAGGGAACTGAAGGTCATGGGACCATCCCCGGGAGCCAGTCACAGGTCAGGGACACGAACTTTCTCCAAACCCTGGCCAGCCTTTGCTCGCACCTCTCCTGCTAGGAGAGGCCAGGGATACAATCAACCCCACTCCTGTGATCAAGACACACCCCTGCCAACCAAGGGTGGGCCCCTACCTGCACAGCCTGAACAACAGGGGAGGGGAGGGAGTTGGCTCAGTTGCCCTCACACCTGGTGGGCAGGGCTGACCTCAACTGTCGTCTAGCAGTGGGACCAGAGCCGGGTCATCCCCTCTGAAGGACAATCCCCTCCCGGGCAGCTTTCCGTCTGTCTTCTCTAAGACCTCGACACCCGGTGTGAGAATTAGCACACAGGAGGGAACAACATGCAGCGAGAAGAGACCAGAGCTTCCAGACTGATGTGCATCCTTCACTCTTCATCAGCCGAGTGCACAGAGATGTATCCGGGTCACTTTAGGTCAGACAGTCACTAGGACATAAACACAAGCCAGCTCATCCCCCTGGCTGCGAGTCTTGGGGTACTGGAGTCCAGTGTGGCTTCTGTGCCTGCTGGCTGCTCCACCTGCTCTGGTCAGTTCCCTTGATCCCTCCCTGTCGCTCTCCCTCCTCCCTCCCTCGTGGTCTCCTTCCTTCCCTCCTTCCCTGCTGCTCTCCTTTTCCTCCCAAATCTGTGCTATTTGGTAGATTCAGACAGACATGGCTTAGTAGCTTCGTGTCCCTGAGAAGGAGCTCAGCCTCTCTGAGCTCCCATCTCCCACCTGCAAAGCAGGGCTCCCTAATACTTGCAGCTGGTAACACTGGCCATGCAGCCGGCTCCCTGTGCCAGGCTCCAGGGGAACACCTGGCATGCATTAGACCTCATTACCCCTCACCTCGGCCCTCGAGGTAGGTAGGTATGGTCATTTCTCCATTGGACAGAAGGGAAAACCGAGGCTGAAACTTGAGTGGAAGAGGGATGCAACCTGGATCTGTCTTTCTCCACTGATTTCAGGCTCGTGAGAACCCACAGGACTGCTTGCTGGCTTCCTCCCTCCCTTCCTTCCAAGAGGGCGAAGGAGGAAAGGGACTGTCAAGATAGACAGCAGGTTCACAGCCGTCTAACACCTCGGCTACTGCCACGGCTCTGGCATTCCTCCCTGCCTCCTGCAGGCTGCGATTCCTGCTCCCGGCTCTGGAAACTGAAGGCAAAGACCAGGGCTTCCGCTCCCTGGGTGGGGAGGGGCGCTGCCCCAAGCTTAGGGGCTGGGCAGACTGCCTGGCACAGTGCCACTGTGAGGGCTCAGGGGTCCTAGGGAATGGTGGGGGGTGACAAGCAGGAAAGGACAAGTCCACAAACAAACCGACCGGAGGAGGAGTGGGCTAGAGAGAGATGCACGGAGCAGTGTGGGAGCAGGGAGGACATCTTCCTTAGAGCGAGGTTTATGGGCCCCACCACGTACTATGTTCTGTGTCGGGCTCTTTAACTTCATCTTGTTTCATTCTCACAAAGGAGTAAATCGAGTTCAAAGTCAACACCCTTGAAAAGCCACTGAGCTGGGATTCAAATCCAGATCCGTCTGGTTCTAAATCCCATGCCCTGTCCTCCGTACAGGCTGCCATCTGAGCAGACGCCCACTCCGGTCTCAAAGATGACATCCAGAATAAATGAATCACTTTCAAAGCAGAGTGAAAAAATGCATTCTCCCCCAATCTCACATCATAACCAGCTGGAAAAGCAAACGTAAAGGTCACTGGGGGCGTGAACATGCCGAGAAGAGCAGTCTGAGCATCTCTGACCCCTGACTCCTGCTGTCTCACAAGACAATGGACAGTCCAGAGCTGCTGCTGCTGGCTAGCTCCAGCGAGGTGTCTCAGCTTCAGGGTCTTCAGGAGTCTCAGTTTTGTTTTTTATACTGCAAGACAGAGAGATGGTTAGAAGTGGCTGAGGGAAGCCAATGGGAGCCAGTGGACACGGGAAATGCTGAGAACTGCGGTCATCTAGGCCTCGGACGCCCCCTGCAGGGGCTTCCTGAAAGTGCGGGAACCCAGCCGGTGTTCCCTGTCAGGCTGGATCCCCGCTTTCTTCTTTGATGGAAAAGGCACTGATGGGGTTGGGAGGAAGGATAAGAAAGACACTGGGGGCCCTGGCCGGTTTGGCTCAGCGGTTAGAGCGTCGACCTGCGGTCCAGAGAGACCCGGGTTCGGTTCCCCCTAAGGGCACATGCCTCAGTTGCAGTTTGTCCCCGGCCCTGGTTGGTCGTGCGGGTGGCAGCCACTCGATGTGTCCCTTTCACGTTGATGTTTCTCTCTCTCTCTGTTCCTCTCTCTCCCTCCCACTCTATCTGAACAAAAAATGGAAAAATGTCCTCGGGTGAGGATAAAAAAAAAAAAAAAAGACACTGGGGAATTAGAATTAAACATCATGGTATGTCCATCATTCTTTTTGAGATGGGTCTTGTTTGGAGGGGGAAAAACCTCAGGTGGAGGAGAAACCTCAAAAGCCATCTAGTCCAATCACTAAGTTTTAAAAAATGAATCCTGGACCCAATAACTGGAGATTCTGATTTAGAAGACAGGAAAGTAGGCCATAATCTAGCTCTCTAGGTTTTCTAACACCGAAGTGTAAGGACCAGTAAGACACTCTATATTCCTGACTCCCTCCCTTTCTCCATCAAAACATGCACTTGAATATTTCCTCAATAACCCTGCTGCAGTGTGAATACCTACGGAGACGGGGAGCTCACTACCGCCCTGCCAAGACAGCTCTGTTCTCTGAGACATCACGAGACTGCTGCCCGCTTTGTTACTACTGCCTCCAGTTAAGACTGCTCTCTTCCTTCTTCCTGCTACCCCATCAGTTTATTCAGTACTGTTGGGCAAAAATGTGTCTTTAGGGATTGAAGGTGCCTCCCCCCACAACCCCCCATGCCACACACACTAACAAAATCAGCAAGGCATCTATCTGCCATCACTTTTGGCTCCCAGAGGTGGCGAGCAGCTAGATTATTCTCAACTGTGGAGCAGCGGCGACCCCTGCTGGTCACGGAGGTTACAGCTCACAGGTGTAGGTGGGAGCCAAGCATTTACTTTGTTCATGATCCAGTCGGCATCTTCAATGGCTCTTTTAATAATTTGCTGGATTCTCTCAGGACTGTCTTCATCTGAATGAACCCGGAAACTCTGAAAGTTTAAGCATAAAAAAAGATGATGGCAAAACTCACAGGACCGGCGGCTTCAGAGCACCAGTCACAGGTCAGACACACTGTGGGCACTTTATACTCAGCATCTCTCCTACCCCTCCACAGAGTTATGATCCCACACAGAGAGGACCAAACAGAGGCTCAGACCGTAACCTGCTGCTAAGCAACAGTGCCAGGCATTTGAATCCTGGTCTATTCAACTGCACAGCACACACTCCTGCCAGCGGGGCAGTCGTGACAAGGAAGACTGCTCCCCAAGTTACCCCCAAATCAAGCTGGGACCCCAAAGGTTACTGGGGGGGGGGTGGCGGCAGAGGGCCTAAGGGAAATTTCCACGTCTGTGTTTCATTTGCTCCTCCCAGGAAGCTGCTTTCACTAGGGTGAGAACCCCGTATGGCTTCACAATGGGGAAGAACAGGGCTTCCCCACCCACGCTGGAGAGCCAAGCCCAAGCCCAGAAGAAAGGGGCGGTGGAGGGGGTGGTTTTGGGAAATGCAGCCAAGCCCAGTGCAGAGCCCAGGCTGCTGTTTGCTTTTGACCAGATGTTCACCCTTGAGAAGCAACATGAGATTCAGGCTCATTCCGCGCACCCAGGGCCCTTCGTGAGTACTGGTACCTCCTCTGCCCTGTTCCTCTCGACCCCATGTCCTCCTTGTCTTTAGGGCACTTCGAGTGCTCAGCTCTGGGACGTCCTCCCTCACTCCCGCAGACAACTAACTGCTCCCTCTCCATGTTTCCACAGCTCTCTGTTGCTTCCTCTATCTTTTTACTTTCCATATTCCATTTGTATTAATTTTAGTTTTTAACCTTTTATTTGGAAATCATGTCTAACCTATAGAAAAGCTGCAAGAATAACACAAAAGAGCTGCCTCCAGAATCACCCATTGTTAACATTTTGCCACATCTGCTTTCCCATCTTCTTTATGTGTTCGCAGTAAAGTTTTGGAAGCACTTATAAGTTGCACATGAGCCCTTAACCCCTAAACACTTCTGTGTGTACTTCCTAACAACAAAGGCATCCTCCTAAGAATCACAGTGATCAAATTCAGAAAATCTAACATTGATACAGTGCTCCTGTATCTATCTAATTTATAGCTCATATTCCAATTTTGTGAATGTCCCCAATAATGTCCTTTATGATCATTGTTTTTCTCTGGTCCAGGATCCCGTCTGGGATCATGCATTGCATTTCGCAGTCACATCTCTTTGGTCCCCTTTAAACCAGAGCAGCTCTTGTGCCTTTCTCCGTGTTTCATGACATTGACGTGCTTGACGAGAACAGCCCAGTTATGTGGTAGATGGGCCCTTAGTCTGGATTTACCTGATGTTTTCTCATGGTTAAAGTCAGATGTGCTTTGTTAACAGAGACACCTATCAAAATGATGATGTGTCCCACACATTTAATTATCCATTCAGCTGCCTAATTCAAGGCCTGGCCCAGAGCTGATGGACTAGATAGCACATCATCCTCTGTTCCTGCAACAAAAACCAGAGAGAATAGCTGGGCTGCCCAGCATTGATATCAGTGGCTCTTACCAAAGTGCCACCCCCTGCAACCTGAAAGACCATCCCTGCCCCTGGCTCCCAACCCTGTGATAGGCCCCTTATTGGAGGAAGCCCCCCAGCCCCAGGCTGAGCACACCCTGCTCCTACCTGCCTGACCGCGTGTTTGTAATGCTCCTGGATGCCCTTGGTGGGCAGCTGTCGGCAACAGCGCAGCAGGTATCGGTAGAGCTGCAGAGGCCTCTGGACCAGCTCTGCCCCTGGTAGCGGGGCCATCTGCAAGACCGGCTGTCCCTGGAAAACAGAGCATCACTTCTAAGGCATCAAGCCAATGCTCGGCCCTGGCCCCAAGGTGCCAGTGCTCCGTGAAGTAGGCTTGATAACAGCACAGAGGCCAGGTCCCCCTCATACCACTCCCCTCGGAACCTAGACCCTGAGCTCTGCTGGGCATTCAGTCTTGCAGAAGTCTCAGCCCAGTGCAGGCCAGCAAGGAACAAATGTAAGATGTTCAGCCTCATCCTGGTATCTTCTCTCTGGACACCAACCTCAGGTGGTGAGTAGGAGGTGTCACTGACAGGCAGAGTAGAGGAGACAAGCAGGAAAACCCCACATTACAATTGCTGAGAAACCATCTAACCTCAAGCAACAGAGGGCAGGATGAAAGGTCTGAGCCTCGCTACTCAGAGTGTGGCCAGTAGCATCGACATCAGCTGAGAGCTTGTTAGAAATGCACAGTCTCAGGCCCCACCGCAGACCTACTAGACGGAACCTGCATTGTAACAAGAGGCCCAGGAGACTCACAAGCACATTAAAGTTTGAGAAACACAATTCCAGAGGGCTCTGTGTGAAGAAGCAGCTGTAGGCAGAGTCGTTGTGGTACACATGACTTCGCTTCACTGTGAGTAAGAAATAGGAATGATAATGAGCTCGCACTGGCTGGGTGGCTTAGTTGACATGTCATCTGGTGCACCAAAAGGTGGTGGGTTCGATTCCTGCTCAGGGCACATACCTAGACGTGGGTTCAATCCCCTGTTCAGGTGCATAAGGGAGGCAACCAATCAATGTTTCTCTCTCATAGCAATGTTTCTCTCTCTCTCTCAAATCAATAAACATATCCTTGGGTGAGGATTAATTAATTAATGAGCTCGTATTCTGTCCTATTTGCTTTACATGTGATTAATGCACACATTTTTTGTTGTTGTTTAGATAGAGTGGGAGGGAGAGAGAGGAAGAGAGAGAGAGGGAAACATCAACATGAAAGGGACACATCGAGTGGCTGCCACCCGCACGACCAACCAGGGCCGGGGACAAACTGCAACCGAGGTACGCACCCTTAGCGGGAACCGAACCCGGGTCTCTTTGGACCACAAGCCGACGCTCTAATCACTGAGCAAAACCGGCCAGGGCAATGCACATATTTTTTAAAAAATCAGCACAGTGGTTGAGCGTCAACCCATGCACCAAGAGGTCACCGGTTCAATTTCTGGTCAGGGTACATGACCAGGTTATGGGCCTAATCCCCAGTGGGAAGTGTGCAGGAGGCGGCAAATCAATGTTCTCACTCATCGATGTTTCTATATCTCTCTCCCTTTCCCTTCCTCTCTCTCTAAAATGAATAAATAAAATTAAAAATTAAAAAATAAAATCAGCACAAAGAGGTCTGACAACAAGCCCAAGGTCACACAGCTGATAAGAATAGAGCTGGGATTTGAGCCCAGACAGGCTCCAGAGCCCACCTTTTAAAAATTTTTTTTAATTTTAAAAGCTTTATTGATATGTAGTTAACATACAGTCAATGTATTTAAAGTGTACACTTTGATCGGTTTTGACACACATATACACCTAAGAAACTATCATCACAAGCAAGAGAGGGAACACCTCCAGCACCCCCAACAAGTTTCCTCGTGCCTCTTTGTAATCCCACCCCTCTGCCCTCACCACTCCCCAATCCCAAAGCAACCTCTGCTTCCTGTCACTACAGATTCCTTTGTATTTTCCTGAGTTTTACATAAAAGCAATCATACTTCATGTACTCTTTGTGTCTGTAGAACCCATATTTTTAAGCTCTGTATTATACATCTGGAAACTTATTTTTTATTTTTTAAAGTAGGAAACTTAAGAGCACAGGTGTTTTTTTTTTCCCAAGGGTGCATTCTAGATCATAAGGATTTGTTAAGTTTCCATTAAGTACTTCCCAGCCCCAAACTGTCCCCGCCTCTGTGCTCACTGTCCTGTAGGATCCTGCTGGGACCTCTGCCACAGCATCTTGCCTGGTGTCCCTGCCTCCAGCCTGTCACTTCCCAGTCTCCTCCACATTGATGCCTGGGCTCATCCCACAGTCAGCCACAGGACCTTCTCACAGGTCCCCAGAACTGTAAGTTAGTCACCTCTTGGTGCCTTGGCACACGAAGCTCCCTGGCGTGGAGCTCCCTTCCCCTCTGCATGTTAGAACCCGTTTACCCTGCCAGGTCCAGCTCAGTGCCACTTCCTCTGGGAAGCCCTTCCTGACTGTCCGGGGGGGGGGGGGCAGTACCCTGTTTATGGAGCTGGTACAGTGCTTCCCACACTGCCGGGATTCATGGGCTGCCAGGCCTGTGCAGCTTGGCCCAGGCCCCAGTGCTTCGTGCCCTGTTTACTGAACTGGACTGAATAGAATCTGTTATCTCCTCCATCCAGATTTCCCCTCTGACAGAGCAGCTCACTATGTTCCCAATGAAGGAGCTAAAAGACCAAGACTAAGCGACTAGCCTTAGTTTTAAAGTAACTAAAAAGAAAAGAAAAAAAAGACAACCCCTCCCCCTCCAAAAAACGAACTAGAATTCTAAATCTTTCCAAGGTCCTTAAACTAAGAAAAGAAACTCATTAAGTAACTGGTTTCAGAGGCTCCTTCATTCCTTTTCCAACATGTTATCTTCCTGGCAACAATAAAGGTCTGTCTCCATAGCCAAGTTTGCTCAGGATACTCTGGGCTCTCGCTCTGACACTGGGGTGAGCAGGTGGTTGTCTGCCCCCACCATGCATCCTCCCTTCTGGTTACAGCCCCAGACTGGGACTGGGGATCTGCTGGGGCCAGGTCTCAGCCCACAAGGTCTGGGTGGAGCTCACCCCAAGCCTGACCAATCAGAGACCTGCATCCACGTGGTCACAGGGATTGGTTCACAGGTGGGTACATGGTGGAAGCTGAGTGAACCTCAAAGCCCTGCAGGAGCGACTAGACCCGATGCTGAGAGGGCAGCTCCTCCCTCAGGGAAGCCATCTTGCCTCCTTCGAAGCCTGAGGCTGAAGCCACAGAAGGCAGAGCTGAGAACCTGAGCAAAACCAAGTCTGAAGAAGTCATTTGAGCCCTAAAACCACCCACTTGAAGGCAGTCCCACCCCTAGACTTTTCAGTGATCCAAGACAAGTAATCCCATTTGCCAAAGCAGCTTGGGTTTGTTTTGTCACTTGCAGCCAAAGGAGTCCAAACTGATTGAAAAATCTTAATCTCCCAAATTCTACTTCCGCGGTGAGCTGTGACGGTTCCAGCCCTAAGGGAGAGTGCAAACAGGGCAGGGTCCCCAAGGTCCTTGTGCCCCAAATATCAACCTGCCAGTCTGAACAGCCACCCTTCAGTCCAACAAACTGAGGGAACCCCATACAAGGGGGCAAAGAACTTCAAGTGCCACCAGAGAGGACATACCACTGAAGCCCCCAACCTGACAGCAGATTCCACTGGCTGGCTTCCCCAGACTATATAAAGTGCTAATCAAATATCGTAAAATGCTCGTGGTGTAACAGATGGTTACCAGCTGCAGTCTTCAAAATTAACATTTGGAAAGAGCACAACTTTGTTTCATTACTTAAAAACCCAAGCAATACTTAGAAACCTACCCAGCGAGTATGGGCGGGAGATTATTTTCAGCTCAATTATAATTCTTAGTCATTCTCTGTAATAACTAGCAGAGAGTCCATGTGTGGGTCCACTCAGAAGAGTTAAACTAAAAATGTTTTAATTTCATTTCAAGTGTGGGCTTGTCATTATTTAAGGGGCAATGAACCTCACAGCATCACTGTTAAAACTGTAGTCAAACCCTGTGGCCCTGGGAATATCACTTTGCATGTCCTGCTCCTTGGCCTTGACCTTGGCCTTGACCTTGGCCTCTCCACCTCGGCTCCCCGCCTCTGTGAGGGCATCACCACCTTCCCTGGCAACCAAACCAAAACCATCACAGAGCCAACTCGCTCTACTCCTTCTCCCTCAATCCCCATGTCACTGGTCTCTAAGTCCTATCAAGTTCTACCTCGGAATGCCACTCAAATCTGTCCCCTCCTCTCTATTTCCACTGCACAGCCGTGGTTAAGGCTCTTATCACAGCTCATGTGGACAACTCGAAGGCTTCCCAGCAGGCCTCCCTGTCTTCCAAGCTATCCTCCACTCAACAGCCAGAGTGAACCTGGCAGGCCATGTTCCTGCCTAAAACCCCTAAGAGCCACCCATCGCTCATGACAACTTTTCCCCAAATGTAGGACAAATATAAAATTATTTTAGGTAGTATATGGACCAACACCTTTTTTATTGTAATGAATTTATGCTTATTTTCATGTGTAATGAGAAAAGAAACCCATAATTTCATAGGTGTTATGGCCTAAAACAGTTTTTTAAATGAATGGCATAAAGTATACCAAACAAATAAGAATGCACTTGCAATGTGGATGTGACAAAATCCTGACAGTGGTACTACAGCTTGGAAAACACTGGCCTCCAGAATAACATCCATACTCCTTTCCAGGGCCTCCAAGGCCCCTCCTGATCCGTCCCCTGTTCACCCCTCATCATGTCACCCACCACTCGCCACCAAGTCCAGGCAAACCGAGTTCTGAGTGGCACATCCACAACAGTCTGTGTCATGCTCACCAGCTGTGGTCTCAGCACCATGACAAAATATTGGCGTAGAGTAGATGTGTTAGGTTCTCCAAAGACAAAACCAGTAGGAGACAGGCAGGGTGGGAGATGATAGATAGATAGATATATAGATAGATAGATAGATAGATAGATAGATAGATAGATAGACAGACAGACAGACAGACAGACAGACATTTCTAAGGAAATGGCTCATGTGTTGAGGCTGGCAAGTTGAAAGTCTGCAGAGCCAATGTCCCAGTTTGAGTCTGAAGGCCGGAAGCTGCTACACAACCAGGAAGAGCCAATGTCAGTCTTCAGCTTGAAGACTGCCAGGCAGGAGAATTCTCTAGAACTCGGGGGAGAGTCAGTCTACTGTTCTACACAGACCTTCAAGCACTTGGATGCGGCCCACC